ACGCCTTGAAGGCTGAGGATAGGCGAGAGGAGACGGCACTTCGTCGCGTGCACCAGGTGGATGCCTGGGCTGTGAGAGCTTTTTCTGCTGCATCTTTTCTCACCAGGGCGTCGGTCAGATGGCTTCGTCAGCTGCAGAGCCATTTGGCACCAGATGATGTTCGGGCCCATCAAGACATTTCAAAGATTTTGGCAGCGGCTGAATATACGGCGGATGCTACCTTGGCTGCTGCCAGGTTCTCGGCCAGGGCCATGGCTTCGTCAGTAACAGCTAGACGTATGCTTTGGCTATGTCATTGGCGAATGGACGGGAAGAACAAGTGGAAGTTGGCTTCCGCTCCCTTTGAAGGGGGGTTCCTTTTTGGCCGAGTATTGGATCCCCTACTCATAGAGACGAGGGATAAGAGAAAGATTCTCCCGTCCCAGAGCAGGCGAGCGGATTTCCGTTCGTTCCCTTACTATAGGCGGCCCTCCTTCCGCCAGTGGGGAGCCGGGCCAAGCTTTCCCCGTCAGCAACGGCCTTTCCATTTCTCTAGACCTAGTTACCAGGCAGACAGTTCAGCCTTCCACCGTGGTCGCCAGCAGCCACCCAACAAGCCCTTTAGGGGCTCTGGAGGCAGAGGGGCTAGAAGAGCTAAGTGACTGTCCGTCTCTGGCCCCTATTGGGGGCAGGCTCGGCCTGTTTGCGGACCGCTGGGACGACCTGACAACAGACAATTGGGTGAGGGAGACTGTAAGAGCAGGGCTCTCCCTCGAATTCCTTTCACCTCCTCCGAGGCGTTTCCTCCCTTGCCCCGTTTCTGGAGACCCGGTCAAACGGGGACTCATGGAATCGGCTATCCAGCATTTGTTGGATATTTGGGCCATTCAGCCGGTTCCACTGGGGCAGAGGGGGCGGGGGTTCTATTCCACCCTATTTGTCATCCCAAAGGCCTCGGGGGGGGGTGGAGGGCAATTCTAAATTTAAAAGGTCTGAACGAGTTTATCGTTTACCGGAGGTTCAAAATGCACTTCCTGCATTCCATTTTAGCGGGAATCAGGGAGGGAGACTTCCTAGCCTCCATAGATTTGACCGAAGCATACCTCCACATTCCAATTCGGCTGGAGCATCGTCAATATCTGAGGTTTTGCTATTCAGGCCGTCACTTCCAATATTTTGCCCTGCTGTTCGGGCTGGCCTCCGCCCCCCGGACGTTTACCAAGGTTCTTTCTGTCTTGGCGGCGTATCTCAGGTCTCTCCCCATCAGAATTCAATGCTATCTCAACGATCTGCTCCTACAGGCGTCCTCCCAGCAGCGAGCGGAACAGGACCTGGCCACTACTATACAGGTATTGAGGGACCATGGGTTCTCGGTGAATCTGGCAAAGTGTCATCTGGTTCCTTCCACAAGGTTAGTTCACCTAGGGGCCCTGATCGACACGCAAGCGGGGCAGGTTTTCCTGTCCCCGGACAGACAGGACAGTATAAGGGCTCTGATTCATTCCCTTCAGGGGTCCCAGATGGTTCAGGTAGACCAGCTATCCCACCTGTTGGGGAAAATGATATCTTGTCTGAACATTGTTCCCTGGGCCAGGTTCCATGCAAGACCACTACAGTGGTTCTTGCTCCCCTTTCAGAAGGCAGGAACGAGCTCGTCCAAGATCAGGGTTCAAGTTCCACCACGGGTTCTACGTTCCCTGACCTGGTGGACGTCAGAGGCCATCCAGAAGGGGTGTTACTTCAGGGAACCCCACAGGGTGGTAGTAACGTCAGATGCCAGCCTGCTGGGCTGGGGGGGTTATTGCGGATCCCAGGTGGCCCAGGGCCGCTGGTCACACCTAGAGCTGTCTCACCAGATCAATTGGCTGGAGTTCCGAGCTGCCCGTCTATCTCTCCAGACCTTTCTTCCGCAGGTGAGGGGGCAGCACGTGCTCCTTCTCACAGACAATACAACAACAAAAGCCCATGTCAACAGGCAAGGGGGGACTCGTTCCCGGACTCTAATGAGAGAGGTGGAGGCCCTTTGTCTCTGGGCAGAGACTCACCTTTTGTCCCTGACAGTGGACCACATCGCCGGGACGGACAACGTCGAGGCCGACTGGCTGAGCCGAGCCACTGTGGACCCCTCGGAGTGGAGGCTCCATCCCGGCCTGTTTGCGGAGATAGTCGACTGGTTCAGTCGCCCGGTGGTGGACCTCTTCGCCTCTCCGGCGAACTCACAACTTCCTCTTTTCTTCTCCCGATTTCCTGCCCCGGGAGCAGCGGGGGTGGACGCTCTGCGGACCCCGTGGCCCAGGGGCCTTCTATACGCTTTTCCTCCCCTTCCCCTGATCCCAGCCGTCATTCGGAAGTTGTTGTTGGAGGGGGCGGAGATGGTGTTAGTGGCCCCGCACTGGCCCAGGCGGCCTTGGTTCGCCGACCTGTCGATCTGTCGGTTGCCAGGCCCTGGCGGATTCCCCCGGACAGAGTCGTCCTTCACCAGGGTCCGGTGCAACACCCGGACCCGCAGAGACTGCAGTTAGCCGTGTGGAGGTTGAGCGGGGGCTCCTGAGGAGGGAGAACTTTCCGGCCAGGGTCATCCGGACTATGTAGGCGGCCAGGCGGCCCTCCACCACTCGTATTTATGAGGCCACGTGGAACAGGTTTGCAGTTTGGTGTGCCTCCAGACATTTGAGTCCAACCTCAGCATCTGTGGTGGAGGTGCTCGAGTTTCTACAGGACGGGTTGGACATGGGACTTTCCACTAACACTCTACGACGTCAGGTGGCTGCGCTAGGCACTGTACTGACCTTTGGGAAATGGGGCTCCCTCGCTAAGCATCCGAGGGTTAAGATTTTTCTGCGTGGAGCGACTAACTTAAAACCTCCGCCTCTTCACCGTTATCCCACTTGGGACCTCTCTAAGGTTCTTCAGGCATTAACGAAGGCACCATTTGAACCGTTGAGGTAGGCTAGTCTTCGCCTCCTCTCGTGCAAAGTAGCTTTCCTTGTGGCCGTCACATCTGCCTGACGGATTTCGGAGTTGGCGGCCTTATCGGTGCAGAAAGACCTGTGTATTTTTCACCCCAACAGGGTGGTCCTGCGGCTGGACCCTGCCTTTCTTCCTAAGGTCAACTCCTTGTTCCACCGAGCGCAGAAGTTGGTCTTGCCAGACTTCTGCCCTCGGCCTAGGCACGCCTTGGAGCAGACCTGGCACACCCTGGATGTAAGGAGGGCCCTCCGTATTTACATTTTTAGGACCGCTTCTTTCTGAAAGACGGAGGCACTCTTTGTCTCCTTTCAGCCGTCGACTTTTGGCCACAGGGTGACCTCTTCCACGGTGGGACGCTGGCTTCGGGGGTGCATCTCGTCTGCATATGAGCTTCAAGCACTCCTGGTGCCGCAAGGGATTACGGCCCACTCCACCTGCAGTGCTGCCACGACCGCGGCCTGGTCTACTCAGGCGTCAGTAGAAGACATCTGTCAGGTGGCCACGTGGACTTCCCCCACTCCCTTCATCTGTCACTATAGACTTGACTCCTTCGCTTCGGCGGAGGCTGCCTTTGGGAGACGAGTACTACAGCAGGTTCTCGAAGATCCGGGGTCGTCGGCCCAGGACAGCTCCCACCCTTAAGGCTGGTCAGTCTTTGGTATATCCCAGACTGGCACCATTTCTACACTATGGAGAAAGGGACGTTGGCTTACCGTGATACGTTCCTTCTCGTAGTGTAAAATGGGAGGTGCCAGCCCCACCCTGTCTGTGGCTGCCTGGACCGGCTCCCTTGGTGGAGCATGTTGTTTCTATCTTTCAGACTGCGTACCATTCATTTTGGCTGCGTACCATTCACCTTGGCTTCGTTGGCACAAACTGAAGAGACGTCACCAGGGAGGCGGATCTTCAGAAGTTTCAACTCAGGACATAGAGCTAGAGCATACTGAATCCCAGACTGGCACCTCCCATTTTTCACTACGAGAAGGAACGTATCACGGTAAGCCAACGTCCCATTCATTGATTCTTATATTTGTTTCAGACTGAATAAATTGTACAGTGTTACTTAGAATTTGTTCTGCTTCAGCAACTAGACTATATCAAGCTGCTCAAAACATTGGATACATTTATACCAGTATGCTCCTGCAAAATAAATTATCTTCCCTTGTTCCTAAATAATTTTGTGTGCACTCTGAAACATCTCCCTAAGGAGTGGAAGACTTTAAGAAAGGTATGGCTAGGTGATGGGAAAGAGAGCTTGTAGTTGATGGGGTGGTGGTGGGAGAATGAATCAAGTACAATAGAGACTCCCAGCCTTTATAGTCAATAGTATAAAATGCTTTGGAGAAGTATAGTATAAAATGCTTTGGAAAAGTTTAATAGAATCAGTGGGAGTACACTTCTCCATGAAGGTGCAAATCAGGGGTCTGCAACCTTAAACACTCAAAGAGCCATTTGGACCGATTTCCCACAGAAAAGAAAACACTGGAGCCACAAAACTTAGGTGGGCGTTGCCAACTCGACATCACTCACTCCCACCCAGTCACATGACACCCCCCAGCCACACCTACCCAGGGAGTTTTGTGGATTCCGGTGTTTTCTGTGTTTCTCTCTCTCTCTCTTTCTTCCTCCTTCTCTCTCTCGTTGTGTGTGTGTTCTCTCTTGAACCATTTCCAAAAACAGGCGAGGGCTGGGGTGTTGTTTTTTTGCTGATGTTGTTCTTTCTTTTTCTTTGGGAGCTTTTTACCATATGATTTAAATCAAGAGTCATTTCAGGTTCCCAGATAAATGAAGCTCTTTCGTCCCCCTGCTGTGGCTCCCTGTCGGCTGAACCCCCCACTGGCTAGTCCCGCCCCTCGCCCTCCTCTTCCAGTCACTCCTCGCCTGGCCTGAGAAGGTAAGGGTGATGGTGGGGGATGGAGACTTGCTTCATATTCCAGAATGGCAGCAAAGCGCCCCTGTACTTGCCTCATCTTGTGGGCTCTTCTTCTGGCCCTTATTAGTGCTGCGTGCACCTCGGGGAAATGCACAACTTCTCTCTGCCCTGAGCTGAGATGGCGGCGGGTACGTCACGTGAAGCTGGCGGAGTCCCTGGTAGCATGGAGGCGGCGGATGGGACACAGCAAGAGGAAGAGGTCGAGGAACAATTAGTTGTGGTAGAATTGTCTGGAATAATTGATTCAGACTTTCTGGAAAAATGTGATAATAAATGCAAGATTTTGGGAATTGACACAGAGAGACCTATTTTGCAAATAGACAGATATATCTTTGCTGGAGAATATGAAGATACCCTTGGAACATGTGTAGTGTTTGAGGAAAACCATGATCATGATGTGGAAGGCAACCAAAAATTGCAACTAAAATAGAAATGCCACACAATGAAGAAACTAAATATGACGCGGACACTTCTGATTGAGAAAAAGGAAGGGGACGAGAACATAGGAGGCGGCATAGAATGGCTAGATCTTAAAGACAAAGACTTCTCATACAGCAGACCAAACATGATTTGTAATTTCTTGTATGAAAAAGATGACGAAACAGCTGAATCCCAAGATAAGCTGACAGAAGAGTCTGAAAAAGAAGCCAGTGACAAAGAAAACATGGACTGGAATTTGGAACCTGGGATTCCAGTTGACACTGTAAAGGATGATGCTGAACCTCTTTTGGATACTCCAGATCCCATCACAGAGAATCCTTCCATAGAGAACAGTCAGAACATTGCTTCAGAAGAGCCTCCACATTGATATAAGCTGTTTGATTGAGCAGCAGTCACTATATAGGATAAACTGACTGATATCTGATATATACATATTGTCATTAGAAAGACTCTGAATTTGTATACAAATTATTTTGTGAAAGTTTTGTTAGGATCACATTCCTTTTGTGATATTGATCTAATACATTTTCCAAGTTCTCTACCTCTTTGTTAAAGGAATTGAAAAGTGGAAAGAGAGACTTCCGTTGAACTTGGAAGCTCTTATTTTGATTACAGATTCCCTTCTCTTGCCTTCTCCCGGTTACTTCTTTTGCTTCCTATCTTGTCTGGTGAAGAATTCTGTAGAACTCAAGTTTGTTTTCTATTTTGTGATTTTGATATAATAAAAGATGCAATTCTAAAAAAAAAAAAACTTAAAAAAAAAACTTGCTATCTGCCCTGAAACACTGGCCCAGCTTGGCTGCAGCCAAAGCCGTTGCTGTTGCGCCTCCATGGCCTGCCCACTGCTCTTGCAGCGCCTTGCACAGCAGTTAAATTTAGCGCGCTTCATAATGGGGAGACAGTGTCCCCTCCTCCTCCTGGAGCCCGTTACAATGCAGAGCATTGGCCACAGCTGGGCGTGTCAGTGTTTTGGGGCGGAGAGCAAGTTGCACATCTCCCCAAGCGGCCAAGGTGCATGCAGCACCAACAAGAGCCGGAAGAAGCACCCGCAAGATGCGGCGCTTCACTCCCGCTCTGAAATATGGAGCGAATCTCCATCTCCCACTGTTGCCTTTACCTTCTCAGGCTAGGCGAGGAGTGGCTGGGAGGGGAGGGCGAGGGGCAGGGCCAGTCAGTGGTGGGTTCAGCTGACAGGGAGACACAGCAGGGGGACGAAAGAGCCACATTCAGCTCTGGAGCCGTGGGATGCTGACACCCGGTGCAGATGACCATCCACCAGAACTATCAGTGCCTTCTGCTAGTCTTTGCTTTCCTGGATCACTAGGTATTGAAAACATTCTCTTGTATCTTTGTAATCTTTTGAGTTAGATTACTATGGTTCACTTTTATATGTGGTTGCCTCTGAAAAGCCCTTAGAAGCTGTAGCTGATATAGCTACTTGCCTACTGAATAATAGTCTTTTTAAAAGCATCATATCTATCTTGTACAAACTGTATTTGTTTATTGCTAGTTGGTTTCCAGACCCAATTCAGGGTGCTGGTGATAAAAGCCTGCATAGCTTCGCCTCCTGTTACCTCTAGGTTCATTTCTTCATGTAGAATCTGTTTGCCTTAAAAGCTTTAGGAAAGAAAAAATACTGCAAGTATCTAATCCAAAAGAAATTGGAGAGTTAGGTTCTAGAGAATGACAGAACAGCATTCTCCTTAAGGTTCCCATTTCTATGCTCTTTTAAAAAATTGGATATGTTCAGCCAGGGCAAGTTTACCTGGCTGTAGCAACTCATTTTCAATAAATAATTTTTACTAATTACGTTTTAATCAATGCTTTTACATATAATAGTAAATAATACCTATATATACTGTTTAACTGCATAAGTCATTTCAGTTAGTTGAAGATTCAAAAAACATGATAAATATTCTACACCTCCTTGAATTTTTTTTACTAACAAGGAATATCTTCGACAGAGTGAAATAAAGATAAATATAGAATCAACATTCAACTGTAACTTAGCTTTCCTTCTCAGACAGAACCAGTTTAGAATCTGGAATTTGGTTGTTAGAAAATTAAGTCATTTTAAAAAATAACTTCAGATAGTGTCATTACTTAGTAAATTTAAAATGAAATTCCCCAAATGAAATTCAAACTACTATAAAGATGCAATATTTATTTTATTTATTACGTACACTTATTTATATAGCCACCCATGTTGTCATTGTGACTTTGGGCAGTTACTGTAGGATTAAAATAGAGATCCCCAAATTCTTTAGATCATTGACCCTTTCATGAAATTTCAGATACTTCATTGACTACTAAACATTTATTGTAGGAAAATAATTTAATATATTCTACTTTAACTAATACAGGCAGTCCTTGATTTACAACCATTCATTTGATGACTGTTCGAAATTTACACCGAAAAAAGTGATTTATGACCATTTGTCACACATCCATTGCAACATCCCCATGGTCACATGATCAAAATACAACTGGTTTGTATTTATGACAGTTGCACTTTCCTGGGGTCATGTGATCATCTTTTGCAACCCTCTAAAAGCAAAGTCAGTGAGGAAGCCAGATTCACTTAACAACTGTAATACTAACTTAACAATTGCAGTGATTCACAGGGGTGTCAAATTCAAGGCTTGCGGGCCGGATACAGCCCATAGGGTTCTTAGATCTGACCTGTAGGGCCACCCTGGAAACAGCAGAGGACTGTCCCACTGTGCCTCTGCCAGCAAAAATGGAGCTCAGGGGGGCTGCATGCGATCTGCCTGGGCTCCGTTTTCGGCTGTGACACCCTCCTGCAGGCCTCTGCCAATGAAAATGGAGCCTCCCTGGGCTCTGTTTTTGCTGGCAGAGGGCTGCAGGAGGCCGTTGTAACTGAAAACGGAGCCTTGACGAGTGACATTGAGCTGGCCATGCCCATATCAGCCATGCCTCCCCGGCCCCCTGAGATTAAACACAACCCTGCAGCAGCCCTCAATGAAATTGAGTTTGACACCCCTGACTTAATAAGTGTGACAAAAAAAAGTTGTAAAAGGGGGCAAAACTTGCTTAAATGTCTCCCTTAGTAACATAAATTTTGGGGTCAATTGTGGGTTGTAAGTTGAGGACTACCTGTAGTGCTACTTGCTGTTACTACTATAATAAAAAAAGTAGTTGAAAATGAGTAAGATAAACTGGGATTTCTGAATACAAAGAAAGGAAACATTGGCACATAACAAACCCCAGTTTTAACTATGATTGAAAAGAAGAAACTGTGGATAAATGTTGTGGCAATAGGTTAATAGAAAAGAAAACAAAGAATTGGAGAAGATCACAAAGTATCAATGTCTGAAAATCAAAGCTGAAAGATTATTGCATAAACTGATAGTGATCCCAGAGATTATTAGCATACTGAGTGTCATATCCGAAAGCACTTTAGAAAAGCACAGCACTTTAGAAAATCTGTTCATTGACAAAATGTATATTACTGTTATTTACAAAAAGCCACACTGCTTTGATCCATACATATGCTATGCCAATATTATGTCATTTTAGATTCTTGGGAAGAACTTAATGTGAATGAAGACCAAGACCAGCTAAAAAACTGGCAGCTCTGATTTCGGGTTGTGTATAATAATAATAATACCAAGCCCTTGGATATTCCCATCAAGCCTTGGGAGTCAATATTGGCCATTGACCACTGTATGTATAGTTTATTGAATAGCCCGAAGGCCTTTTCAAACAAAACAGAAAAGAAAAAGGGAAAAAGATAAAACAGTTACAAAAATAGCAATCTAAAAATACATGATAGATGACATTAAAATTTTACCATATCAAATTTCAATAGCTAAGTTGCCAAGACTAGAAGAATAGATAACCCAAATAGGATAGCTCCTCTCTAACTGAGCTCATCTTTCTTACAATCGATAAAATTTTTCTTGATATAACTGGCTCGTATTGCCGTCAACCTTTTAAAGTATCGAGTGATCGCTCTTACCAGGGGAGGAGAGTCAGCCCTCAACAGAAATGCTAATTTTTGTATATTTTTTATATTCCAGTGGGGAAATTTATTTATAATTGGGGACAGATATTGATTTCTAACTTCCTGATAGAGACTACATTCGAATATTATATGCGCCGTGTCCTCCACGACGTTTACCCTACATATGCATATTCTTTTGTCATAAGGGATTTTTCGATAACGGCCGAATCTAACGTTAGTATCTAGAAGTTCGAATCTAAACTTAACAAATAACTGTCTCTCCACTGATGGCATTTCTAAATATAAATACTTTTCCAGGGTGAAAGTTGTTTTAACTGCTGTCAGCAGTTTAAGGGAATGATTAGTTGAAAGGGTTGCCATATCCATTTGCCCGTGTATATCTTTAATCCGTTGTTTAACTTGGTTCAGTGTGTCACACAACAGGAACCCTACGCCATATCGGTTCAATATTTCTGACAGCCGGGTTAGCCAGGAATACCTTTGAGGATTTGAAATCTGCTGTTCCTCTAGACATATTTTAGGGAGTCTGCTGGCATCCATCTGGGTCATTTTTAGCCAGTAGGCTACCGCCCTAGTGATTGTATAGGTGTACAGTGAGAAATGTCCCAATTCAGCTCTGACGGCTGCAGCTGAAGTGGAATTGTTTACCCCAAGCACCCTCCTTAACAGATTATTTTGAGTTCTCTCTAATATGGGGGCCTCTATAAGACCCCAAATTTCAGCACCATAGAGCATGATCGGAACAAGTTTAGCCTGAAAGACTTTAGGAAGAGGTAAAATGGAGGTTGGTTGGATTCGTTTACTTAATTTAGATACAAGGCTTGCTCCTGCTCTAACCTTTTGAGAAAGGTATTGATGGTGCGGAGTCCAACCTCCTGCACTGGACAATTCCAAGATAAGTATATTGGGTAACTTGTTCAATTTTTGTGTCGTTAATCTGCCAATTGTGCTTTTTATTTTTGTTGCCAAAGACTAAAACTTTTGATTTAGCTACATTTATAGTCAAGTGGTTTGCAGCACAGTAACGTGTGAGCTTGTCAAGAAGTCTCCTCATTCCTATTTGGGTTCTAGAAAACAACACTAAGTCATCGGCATACATTAATACGTTAATAAATCTAGAGCCTATTTGGGGGCTGTGCGTCAGAAGATCATCCAGCTGCGCTGGGATATCATTTATATAAAGGTTAAAAAGAGTAGGGCCCAGCAGGCAGCCCTGCCTCACTCCTCTAGTTGTCGGTATGCTGTTTGTTGAGGCCCCATTTGCTGCATATCTGACTCTAATTGCCATATTAGTATAGAGAATCCTGATCAACAAAATAAGTCTGGGGTCCATCCCCATAACTTGTAGTTTCCTCCACAAATGATTCCTATCTATAGAATCAAAAGCAGCAGTAAGATCAATA